ATGTACCTGAAAAACTATATCTATATCTATCAGAGAAACAACCATAATGTGATAAATATTATAATTAATTATAGCCAAAAACATTTTAAACTATCTATACAGATAAATAAGCTTAGAGTGTCTGTTTGTAATATTAAAATAACCACTTTTATATGCATATGTATATACCTACATTCGATTGTCATACCAAAATAACATATTTTACGATTTTTGTCCGTCTATCTGTTTGTCTGTTTGTACTGACTAATCATTGGAATGACTGGACTGATTTTGCAAGACATTTATTGGTAGGTAGCTGATGTACTAAGGAGTAACATAGGCTACTTTTATTTTGGAGAATTGAACCAAAAAATGTTATGTACTAAAATTCATATTCTACGCGGACGAAGTCGCGGGAAATAGCTGAACAAAGAAAGAAGAAAGAAAAATAATTTATTCGGTACAACACCAGGCACAACACAATAAATACAAAATAAAGTGAAATAAAAAAAACAACACAAACAACAGTAATAACTAATAGTAGTTTAGTGCAAAAAACAGTCTTAAACAGAAAGTAGTAAGATTAAAAATCGTAAATTTAACTAGGACAAGACGTAACTTAATGAAAGAAATTTCTAATTTAAAAGGCAACTGAGTCTTCACTACCCTTTGAAGGAAAGCTCTTCCTATACCTATAGCAAAGGCGATATTATTGCATCGCAAGTTAAACATTTCTTTACGGTAGATAAGATTACTTTTTATTACATTAGGTTCACAAGCTATAGGTATAAACTAATTTAATTAGCCTTTAAGTCTATTGTAACAAATCTTGTTTAATTACACTGTAGGTACTTGGATGACCGCTCTTCTCGGCGATCTATTTTTAGTAAGATACATTATTTTTCTTTTACTATTTTTTTTTAAATGAAACCTAGCTAGATCCATTTATCGCCCCTGAAATCCAAAATAGTTAAGTGTGGGAGAGCCATGCTTCGGCACGAATGGGCCGGCTCGACCGGAGTGATACCACGGCCTCACAGAAAACCGACGTGAAGCAACACTTGCGTTGTGTTTCGTCGTTTGAGTGAGGTTACCGGAGGCCCAATTACCCTCCCCTTGCCCAATCCTCCCAATCCCTGAATCCCCAACGATCCTCAAACTCTTAATCTCCAAATGGCCGGCAACGCACTTGTAACGCTTCTGGTGTTCCAGGTGTCCAGGGCGACGCCGATTGCTTTCCATCAGGTGATCCGTCTGCTCGTTTACCGGCTTATGCCATAAAAAAGCCGTTTTCGAGATAGTTGACCTAAAATTGTAGGTACCGAAAAAATAAACTTTAATCAAATGATTCAGCCCTACTAAGTCATTGAACTCAAAACTCTAAGCTAGACAATTACATTGACGGCCGACACAAGCATTTCTCTACGTAGAACTATTATGAAAACAAACAAAATCATTCTCCTTTGCGATTTACGATTCTGCAAAGCAATATTGAACTTTGGGTCTGCGAAATAACGTTCTTGTTGTTAATAAATGTGATAATAACGACACGTTATTGTGCCGATACTACCTCTAATAGTCATTCGTGATTTTCATCAAGTTTTCCTTAAATGGGTTTTTATTTCATTTTTTACAGTGACGCTGCCTCGTGCTCGCCGAGTGGTCGCAAGTACGACTACCGGGGCAAGGGGTCTCGGGTATTGTGCCCAGTATATAGCAATAGGCTCACCACCCCCTATTACATGGGACTAATAACATAAATAGTGAAAAATGGGCGTTACATTGTACAGTGGCACAATGTGCACCTCTGCCTACTCCTTCGGGGATAAAATGTTATGTTCGCAGTAAGCAACAGTGAGCAATAAATGCTCTACTCATAACTCCCTGTTTACAAAATAATTAATCTTATTAATATCCCTCTTTTCATTCCTGATATTTTAATGACGCAATAAAAACAAAAAGCGACGATTTCGCCTAATTCTAACCAATTTACCCAAAAGATTATCCCTAAAATACCATTTTACAGTAGCTATTTACTTATTACCGAGACCATTATACCCCGATTTTCCATAACCCAACCCCCAAAATGGAAAATGAGGCCAATAGGCTTATATTTTGAGGTCCGAACAAAAAAAGGGACTCAGTTGATGGTATGGGCTCTTCATAGTTTTTACTGGTAACAGCTTGGTAAGAGTTATATGATATGAAACTGTCCAAATTGTGAAAATATTCTTAATATCTTTTAGTGTAAGATCCAATTTATACTTTATTTCTTACTGTTTCATTATTGGAATACCTAGAGTATGTATGGCATGGTAGATTCTACGGCAAGCCGGCAAGGACTTACTGCCTATTATTACAACTACGTTCGATTTTTGAGGGATAAGCCGGGAAACGAGCAGACGGATCACCTGATGGTAAGCAATTGGCGTCACCCATGGACACCTGGAACACCAAAAGCGTTACAAGTGCGTTACCGGCTTTTTAGGAAAGTGGGAGGAGGGGTAGTTGGGTAACCGGTAACCACACTTACACGACGGAACATAACGCAAGCGTTGTTCTTCTGTACAACCATTTTCAATTTTCAGACAGAATTATACCAAACTAGCGACCCGCCCCGGCTTCGTACGGGTGCATTATGCATGTATTATAAATATAAACCTTACTTAAGAATCACTCTATTTATTAAAAAAAACCGCATCAAAATCCGTTGCGTAGTTTTAAAGATTTAAGCATACAAAGGGACATAGAGACAGAGAAAGCGACTTTGTTTTATACTATATGTAGTGATTTTGTCGCTTGTAATTGTCTATAAGTTTGCTCTCTAAAATAATAGAAGAAACATAATTGACGAAAATGTCAAGACATACTTATTTAGACGAAAAAACTGAAATGAGAAAAGTCTTTGTTGAGTCTTTCAATTAGTGTTCTTGTTTACGCTCAATTAACTCAAATACTTACTTTAGAAGCTGTAACGTTTTTAGCTAAAAATCAATATTACCTCGTTGGCCGAGTGGTCGCAAGTGCGACTGCCGAGCAAGGGGTCTCGGGTTTGATTCCCGGACCGGGCAAAGTACTACTGGGTTTTAAAAAAAATCTCAGAAGTAGCACGGAGCCTGGAATTGTGCCCGGTATACCTATGGCAATAGGCTCACCCCCTATTAAATTGGACTCATAACATAAATAGTGAAAAGTGAGTGTTACATTGTACAGTGGCATAATGTGCACCTCTGCCTACCCCTTCGGTGATAAAAGGCGTGATCTTATAATCAATATTATAATAAATTTATGTTTGTCCTATTAAATTAGTTTGAGATTGTACATAAAAAACGGTACATAAGTAATGCGTAACAAGAAACACAAGCTCACAACACCCACTTTCTTTTCCCAACAAAGAACAAAATCATAATTTTATTCCTGAAATATTTCCTTAAGCAATACGAATAACAAGGCAATAATACCTCGCATATTTTTCTTTCCGAGTTAAAGGAAAACCAATCATAATATATTTTGCATATTAAGTTGAGAATCGTAATAAAACAAGATTTATTATCGGAGCTAAAGACGTTTGAGATTATTACCATTGTTACTGGCGAAACAGGTGTGTTGTGCCAACGATTTCCGTTAAAACAACGAAACAGTGAAAGTAGGTAAATAACACGAAAACCCGGGGAATCGTTATTAATTTGTTAGCCATAAATTAATTTTGATACGGTTTGTTTTTATTAAAGAAATATTAAACGAAAGTAAAACGATTAAATTTTCAGTTCTTATGTTCTGAAGTGCTTTAGAAAGTCGAGATTTTAAACTTTTAAATTATGTATCAAAACACCCTCATTTTTTAAAAGACTGACCCTGCATGTATTTATCCATTAAACTCCAAATTAGGGACTAGAAAACATTATTAGGTATAGAAGAGGTTTCTATAGTTACGTAGGTTTTTTAAGTATAATACAAGGTGTAGTTTTGAAGTCGTGTCATTTCTCGGGGGCATGTCACAGAAGTCATATAGGTGCAATGTAAGAGAAAATTTCGGGTCAATAGTTAAAAATACGGCTATAATAAATCGTTTAAGTTGGACAATATTTCAGAAAAAGCGACAGCAATTCTTCTTATTCGATTTTTATGGAATTAGGAATAATATCAATTACATGTTTGAGTTTGTGTGTGTTAAGTCGCGTTATAAAGCTAGTTACAAGACGGCGGCGTGTAGTTCGCAATTACGGATTTCCGTAAATTACAGAAAAATGAAAAATATTTACCTACAATTTTTTTTATTGATTCGGACTCAGAATCGATAGCCGAGTTACCTCCTAGAAAATGACGCGGCTTTAAAACAACACCATGTATAAGTAAATAAAGTAAAGGTTGACTAGGAGAAAATGCCATATGGCATTAAGTCCGCCTTATGTACCTTATTTTGTATGCATTAAAGTGTAAATAAATAAATATTCATTTTTCAAAAATTACTAAAAATACTTTACCAGTTTGTTCCGTATTATAGTATAGTATTCAAGTAAACAAAAAACTAGATTCAACACTTCGAAAACCTTCTTCGTTCAACATATTCTGTAAAGTTCAAAATCCTACGCCTTGTCTTATAAAGCCTTAGTATTATCACGTAGTAAAAGAAACGGATAATATTGATTGCATATAAAAACTTATTGGTACCTACATTCTCTCCAGACAGCTACGCCTTCGCTCCAAATATATTATAACATAGATATACTTACAAGGAATCTCGAATTTTCCTAGAAACCTAGTTACGTAAGCCAAATAAAAATCTTTGAAAGGTTGTTCATATTTTCATCTATTATTTGCAATGAGATGGATAGATGTGTGTCGTGAATGTTAAAGATTTTGTGAGAGGATGGATGATACGTAACTAATTATAATGTTAATGTTTATGTCAAGTTACAATTACTCTAATTAGTTATTCAAATGTATAGTTCTTTTTGTTTTTTGTTAATTTTTTTTCAAAATTTTTATTTCTTATATTTGATTATCTAATTAGTTTGTTTTTAAGTACCTAAATAATAGCATTTATATAAGATTAACATTATAACTTAATGGCGTAAGCTGTGGTGTTGTAGAGGTATATGTAAATTTTCTAAAAATAAATAAATAAATCTGAATTCCATCTCAATAAATTGTGTTACTCTGATTCTTTTCAGTGCGAAAAATCATGTAAAGAAAATCGTGCGTCAAATCCAAACGTGAAATTTTCAAAATGTCTGTGCGTTTTAAACTATATCGTGTTTTATGGTGTCTGTTGTTCATGTATATTTTTTAAAGGGAGTAGATAGAACTGAATTCATAAAACCGTCACCTTTAAAACAAGACTAGCGTTTGTAAAAAGTCATACTGAAATGTCATACAATTAATTTCATATTACCAATTTACAACCCACGTGCCAATCAAAACAAAGTCTCAAATGCTGCAAAACCTTAAGCGAAACCTAAAACACGACTCACTTCCATAGTTATTTCCTACAATTTGAACCAGCATGTCTTCAAACGTGTCTTGGGGTCTCAATTCCCAGCCAAATACGTCGATATCGTACGCCAACATGTAGTTATGTATAGTAGAAGCTAGCAAGAAACCGCCACTATCTCCCACGTTAATTTCATAAGCCGGAGTATCGTACAGCAACGCTGCTCGACCCCATTCGAATCTGTAGGAACCGGTAATCATTTTAATATAAACGCTAGCACCATCTATTATTGGGTAGCTGAACGAAACGTATTAAACCACCCTTCAAAAGTTGCTAACAGCGCCATCTCTGTAGCTTAATAGTAACCGCTTATATTTCTAACATAAACTTACCGTTACACTCAGTAGGTGGCGGTGGTGTGTTTTAAAAGCTAAACTTACTTGTGTATTTGTAGCCGAGGTAAAATTTCAGGTTTTCTGTGTAGTTCAGGCCAGCGTCTGATGTAGTATCCCACGGAGTATAAAGTATGTCTTCTTTTTTCAGAAAATTGGCAAAGGTCTTCATCATGAGGTGGCAGGTTGACTTGCCAGCGATATGTAACTGCGACTCGGGTTCGTTGATGAGCAGCAGTTGCTTCCATTTGAAACTAGATGGCGTGGAAAACAAAACGTGTTAGCAAAGCCAAACTGTGTCAAAACGTGCTATGGGACAACACAAAAACACCATACTAATTGTATTTTTCAAAAAGTTTCTTTTAATTTTCGTGCATCATTCACTGGGTCCTTATTCAAAACAGCCAAGAGTTAGTCTTAAAAATTAATCGGTACTGAAGTATAAAATAAGTATATTTACTAGTTATTCATAATCTACATTTTAAATAGCTTATATGGAAAATCAAATTGGATTAATTGAAACACAGACCAAGTAATCACACTGAATAGTATATTTACTGGCCTAGGACATTTCTAACACTATTTCTTAACAGTTTTCTAGAATTTTAGAAATGCATTAAACGTAATATAGAGAAAAAAATTTAATCTTGATGTATATACCTATTATGTCGTGGTAGTTGGTCTCATGCGTGAGGTTGCGTTGGGTTAGAAACCTACCAACGGCAACTACCAATGTGACTTTTTCCCAGTCATATATAGGTATTTTCTAAAATTATTTAGATGCCACAGCCAAACGGTGAAGGAAAAACATCGTAAGGAAGCCTGGGCATATCATTTTTAATTATAAGTTTGATTTCGCCAACCCGCATTAAGCAAGCGTAGTGATTAATGCTCAAACCTTCCCCGTGTGAGAAGAGGCCGTTGGTCAGCCGTGGCTACTTACAGGCTGTTGATAGGATTTGTCGATACCTATTATATAAATAAGTAACATTTTTTTATTGTTTAACTGTATAATGTTTTAGCTTGTGCTGTAAAATTATACATGTACTTATAAATAAATAAATAAATAAATAATAATAATTATTATTATAAGCCTATAACTAACTATCAACCCTCAGAAACTAGTAGACTAGATACCAAGCTAGGCATTCAGCCAGGCAATCACCAAAGCTAAATGCCCAAGAGAAGGAATGCTCAGAATCTCTCATTTGTTTCTGTAACATTTAGTATATCTGTTTACAAACCAACTTATGAAAGCCACAAAACCCTGGAGAATTTAGCGAGAATTAGGCTATTTACTTCGGGCAAAGATAAAACCTAAAACCTTTTTGGGTTTTCCTACACGATTTTACGAAAAATGGCTAGCGATTTGGGATGCTGTTAGATATTGAGTAATTAAAAATATATTGCTATTTTAGATATAGTATCTTATTATTCAGGGAGATCTAAAATTGGTAAACTGCCAACTATCTAATGGTGGACTGCGTCGTTGGCCGAGTGGTCACAAGTGCAACTACCGGGCCAACGGGCCAACCCGAGACCCCTTGGTCTCGGGTTCGCTTCCCGGGTCGAGCAAAGTATTACTGGTTTTTTTTTTCAAAAAATCTTAGTAGTAGCACTTAGTCTGGAATTGTGCCCGGTATATGGCAATAGGCTCAACCCTATTATATGGTACTCATAACATTAGTGAAAATTCGGTGTTATATTATACAGTGGCATTTAGTGCCGTAATGTGCACATCTGCCTACCTTCGGGGATAAAAAGGTGTGATGTTATGTTTGCTAAAATGGTATTGGAATTTTATGTTACGTTCAAGTTACGTTCTTGACTTTCCTATCAAACAGACTTCATTATTTTTTGTCATCACACTTATATTGTAAATGTGAAAGTTTCTTTGTTTGGATGTTTGGATGTTTGGACGTTTGTACGTCAATCATGCTGAAACTACTGAACGGATTGTGATGAAATTTGGTATTCAGACAAGGTATGGTCTGATAGGATACTTTTCGTATCCTAATAAAATGCTCGCGTGGTATAAAACAAGAATACGCGGGCAAAGCAGCGGGTAAAAGCTATTACAATATAAGTAAAAGTGTATGGCTGTATGCCATATGAATGTATCTCATACACGGCTAATTTGTCTTAAAGTTAAATAATATTTTACTAAATACAGTTATTTACTTACTTAACTGCTTAACAGCCTTCATTTAGGCCTATTTATTTACAAGACATAATGAATCTGAGCAAATTGGATCTGGTTTTGATCCCAGGGGAGGCTTAGTAGTATTGCGAATTTAGTGCTTGGTGCGGAATACAAAACTATTTTATTATATTACATGAATAACACGGGGTCTTTTTTTTAAGGGGGAAAATCATCGATGGACTTCTCCCGCCTGGATGAGGCGGGAGGGAGTGTCAGACTCTTACTGACTAAAAACCACCCCATTCCTACTCCTGCACATCGAGCCGGAGCTCCGGTAACCCGTTACGTTCTCCGCGGCAATAACATGAGGTCTGGAATATCATCCTGACTTTGATAACAAAAAGGTGACTGGTGATATTACATAAATATTTACAGCGATACATTTTCTATTTATTACTTTATTGTCTAAATAACGAACCAATATACACGGACACACAAAAACTATAAGTACTGGAAATGTCAAGTGGCATACATTTCACACGTAAGTACGTACTTTGTTGAATAAATATAGATAATATAATATGATGATAAGCATGAAAGCCTCAGTCTTTATTATTTTTGGACATTTGATTGACAACTCGCTAGATAACTTTATGAAATTTCATTTCTATTAATAGATCCCAAAATGAAACTGTTTTGTTTAGATGACGAGGGAAGTTTATAAGTAACTTTCAATAGATGTCGCTGTGTGTAGCTACTTCTTTTGTTTAGATTTTGAATAGGTGTTTTAGGAACAAAATGAAGTAGAAGGGATGGGTAGGTATTTTGAAAAGGGAATGGATAAAGGGACGGTCGACATGACATACATACTTTTTGAAGAAAAGAGAATAGAAGAGAAGAAGAAGAGTGATATGGTTTGAATACGATGAAAAGTGATATGGGTACATAAATTTCAGATTTATTACACATAACATAACATCACGCCTTTTATCCCCGAAGGGGTAGGCAGAGGTGCACATAGAAGTAACACCCACTTTTCACTATTTATGTTATGAGTCCCATGTAATAGGGGGTGAGCCTACTGCCATATACCGGGCACATTTCCAGACTCCGTTCTACTACTGAGAATTTTTTAAAAACCCAGTAATACTTTGCCCGACCCGGGAATCGAACCCGAGACCCCTTGCCCGGCAGTCGCACTTGCGACCACTCGGCCAACGAGACAGTCTTGGTTAAACGTCTGTGCAGTCTTGTTAATTAATGTATGGCCGTAATATGTTTTTGTAGAGGTAGGTTAAGTTCTTTGTTTGTTTTATTTGTTTGCCTTAGCTACACAATCTTATCACTATTCTTAACCTCGTCAATGCAACTCATGCCACTTGTCAAAAATAAGTAATCTTACTGATAGATACGTAGAATTCCTAAAACGAAACGAAAGTATTTATGGCATTAGATACTACAAACTATCGCCAGGTAACAAGGTATAACTAACATAACATCACGCCTTTTACCCCTGAAGGGGAAGGTACAGGTGCACATTACAGCACTTAATTCCACTGTCAAATGTGACACCCACTTTTCACTATTTATGTTATGAGTCCCATGTATGTAATAGGGGTGAGCCTATTGCCATATACCGGGCACAATTCCAGACTCGACAGGTAAAACTAAGTCCTAATAATTAGGGGTACCATTTGACTACTGGCGTTTACTGTCTACTTTTAACTTTCTTAATATTTTCTTTATTGCCATACATATCGAGTGGTCGCAAATCCGCATACCCCGCAGAAAGCTCTTCGGTAAGTAAGAATTATAAGTAGTCAGCGAGTAATTGGTAAAACTATACTTCTTTGTGCTATAAAATAAGTGGCTTTAAGATGCATTACTTGTTTTAATAAAAAAAGGAAAACAGAAAGCAACATAAAACCGTTACAATTGTCTAAATTGGCGTATGTAATACGGTGACTAGAGTTCACGCGCGGTATTGAACTGCTAAAAGCAATCAAACGGCCTGATACTAAAAATAGACTGCGTATTTCAAGCCTTTCATTGCGCGTATTCGGAAAATGGACTAAAATGCAATTTTGAACAACAACAGGGGATGGGTAGATGCAAATAAATATGTAGAAATACAAATTAGACGTTTATCATCATCACTACTGTGACGAGAATGTCTACTTCCAGAAGCTCCTTAACACGTTAAACGCCATGGCAGTCACCGGTGACCGACCTTAGCGGAGGATTTGCCTTAATTGAAAAATGATAATTTTATAAATTAAACTGTCAAATACCAAGCGGTCACCGGTGACCGCAACCTATTGCTCTTTAATTGTGTCTATAAATACGGTACTCGACGAGTTAACATAACATTAACTTAACATCACGCCTATTATCTCCGAAGGGGTAGGCAGAGGTGCACACAGAAGTAACACCCACTTTTCACTATTTATGTTATGAGTCCCATGTAATAAGGGGTGAGCCTATTGCCATATACCGGGCGCAATTCCAGACTCCGTGCTACTACTGAGATTTTGTTTTAAAACTCAGTAATACTTTGCCCGACCCGGTAATCTAACCTGAAACCCCTAGCCCTGTTTATATTTTATAAACTACGTAAAAAAAATTACCCTGTCTTTTTTGTAGCCGGTTAACTAATACACTAAAACCATCACCTGACTGTAAACTACGCTTTTCTGAAAACCGCATCGAAATCAGTTTTGCCAATAGCGAGATAACCTTCTCCTCATATTCTTTTCACTTGAAGTCCGTAAAAAAAAAATCCTGTCCCAGGTAGCGCTTGATGGAGTATAAGACTATAACTGACTAAAAACAGCACCGGTCCCATTCCTACTAATATCCGGGGCTGCGATAACTTGAGGCGCTTTGGCGATCTTTATCAGGTTATAAGTGACCAGACTATTCCCGAACGAAATCTTATGGCGCAAATACATTAATTACAACAAAATTTACGAGTCTTATCTATATTCGAGTACTTACCTTTATTCCGAACAAACCAATAAATATGTTAAAAAATAAATGTTAAGCAAATGTAATTTATAATAAGCTAGTGACACCCCTAAAATTTGCAACGCCTGAAAAAGGCCGTTAAGA